GAGGGCAAGTCCATGTCTTGGCTGATGATTGGAGGAAGCAAAAACTTCATTTCCAGTTTTTCTTCAGGTTTCTTTTTCATGAGGCCACTTCATGCCTTATTACCTCTCTTCAGAACTGTACGGACAACATCACCAGGTGTGAAATGGGGCATTTTGAGTCCACTGATGGTCTATGGTGTTGCAAGTACATCTTTTAAATTTTCTGTGGCCAAAATTTCAGTGACTCAGGCTTTAATTTGTTAGTGAGGACTGGAATTGGAAGACTGGTTTTATAGGTAAAGTTATATAGGCTGTGTTTTCTACCATACTTGGCCATTCTATGAGCCTCCTAAGTTTATACTTTTCTAACCTCTTTTTTAAAGTAAGTCACTTCCTATATGAAACTGCTTGGCTTGTTTTATTCTGTCTGCTTGGAACATAAAATCGCAAGCAAAACTTGCATGATTACAGGTTGGCACTCCTTTTCTCCCAACTTCCTCTAATTAGTATCACAAGAGGGGTGACTTTTTAAATAATTACTTTGAGAGTTTAAATGCTTCCCAAAGAAATATTTTAAAAGCAAAGGGTATCTGGAAGTTGATGTCTCCATGCATACGTTATTTTCCCCCTTCCTTCCTTAAGGAAGCCATGTACTGACTACTGTGTTTCATTAGGAATGAAATTATTTTGCCTCACATGTAGAGGAACCTAAGAGAATAAAATAGAGAGTCATGAATCAGGTCTGCCTCTCTTGGTATTTATCTTTGTCATTTGTAGTGTCCAGCCCATCACAGTTTAAGGGGAAATGGTGGCTTCTGGCCCAGAAAGCCAACTTTGAAGTTTGTGTACTCCATAAGAAGGACATGCCAGTCCTTTCTGTCCCTTATCAAGCAAGTTGGGTAGCAAAGCTCTAAACTCCTAACAAGCAAGTGCTTAAACCCCTTAGAAAGTTAGCCTGGCCAGGAATGCATGGCTCACATCCTATCAGGTTGTGGAAGGGTTTGACCCACTATTTCATTGTCGCTATTCCATCTGCCTAGCTTTATATAGAGTATGTAATCTATAACGCGTGCATTCACATGGCTCCTCACCACATTTCTATCCCCTTCCAAGTGCCAGGAGCCCAGCATGTTACCCGTGAAAGATTCGTTGAGATTTAACACATATTTTTGTATGATAGAACTGCCAAAATGAGAAAATTGCTTTAACCAGCAAAGTAAAAAAATACCACCTGATGTTTTGCACAGTATGGATCCAAATATCAACTTTTTCACGGACAGTTGAATTTAAATGCTGAACTATTTAATTAGAATATTAAAAATAATATAACTTCCTGACAACCTTAGAAAATGGGAAAGTGGTCCATTTTATTCTAGTCTTCTTTCCTAGTACCTATTTTTTACATAGTTATATCATGATGTAATGCATATTTTATCTGATTTTTCTTCTGATTAACATTCTTGAGAACTTTTCCACATTGGTTCACAGCTATTATTTTTAATGTCTTCTGATAACCAGTAGAGTAGCTGTACCATTGTTTACTTGACCATGCCCTGTTGTAAGAGACTACATTGCTTCCAGTTCATTTTATCATTATTGTAAAAACCACTACAGGTAGTAACCTTCAAGTTGTTTGGCTTTCTGTTGCCAGGATAAACCAAAGGTTCCAGGCACTGTTTAAATTAAAGCTTGTCTCTGAAGTGCGTGTATTTCCAATTAACTACTATGATGTCATAGTGGCCTTAAAGTGACCAGTAATTGATTTTTTAAATAATGTTTCCTAGACTCTCTCCTAGAATATAAGTTAAAGTTTAGAAAAGTCTTCAAAAGCAGAAAACCACAATACTTTCTTTCTTGGTATTCATACAACCTCATTTACTTAGGCCTACAATGTATGCTAGTGATGAACTAAAATAGAAATTGATTTTAAGACTCTGGCCCTTTTGAAGTAGTTCAGCGAGAAGCAGCTTGAGAAATCTTCAGACTGTCTGTGGCCTGTAGTAAACCCTTATCCAGCCTGCTGATGGAGAACTTGTACAGCTGTTGGCACATCTACAGAAATTGTATAAAGACATGGGTGCCGTGTCTTGATAGGGATTGACATATTAATATCGGGGGTCAAGCTAGGAGGGAGCTGCTGGCCTAGTTAACCTAACTCTTAGGAGCAGTCCCATATCACCCAGGGAAATACAATGGGATTGTAACTGGGTGTTAATAGATTCTAAGAATGGCACAGCTTTATCTTTAGGAAGTGAGCTAGTAGTGAGCTGCAGGTGGCTAATGTCTACTACTAGACAGATCTGATCTAATAAACATGCAGGCTGTCCAGGATAGAAGGAAGTTGAGCTCCAGAAGTTTTTACACGAGCAGGTGCAGCATTTTCATATTACAGCATGGCTGGTGTATTACTGGGGAGAAAGAGGTATGAGGGAGAGGGTGCCAATTTTATTTTTTAAAACACTTTATAAGGATTCTTTAGCTTGAGCTGACAAAGGAAGCTTTACAATTCCAGAGAAGTTAAGGAGTTTGAAAATTAAAAAAAAAAAAAAAAAAGTAATAAAAGTTCCCCTCTCCATGCAGGGAGAAAGGATAGTGGCTTCTGAAACCAGAATGCTCACCTCTGCAACCTCGTCACAATTCATCATTCATTCAGCACTGAAAGAAGAGGGTGGGCTCTGGTCAGACAAGGAAGCTAATGCCACACTGGGCTACCCTATGTTTGCCCTTCAGCTCCCAGTGAGTGAGATGAGTTGGGTGGTCTCATCCTCGGTGGTCTCCTCCTTGGGGCTCATCCACACACATGGCCTCACAACTGCACATTTGACCACCTTTCTAAAGGGTGTTAGTGGCAGACTGAGGGCATTTATAAGATGATGGCATGGTCTTATAAAAGAAAAATGTTGTTTCAGGTTGGGCAGACTCACAAAAAGACAGGGAGTGGGTGTTTGGAATGGAATCTGTAACTTGGTTTGCCTCTAATGGAAGGAGGAGCAGGTAGCAGCTCTTTCCTAACTATAAGTGCAGAGCCTAACTAATGCCTACAGGTCGGAGGTGGAAATAGGGAAGGGGTTGGGGAAGGGATGGCTGAACCAAATAAAGTAACACCTAATGCCTCCTCTCATCCCATCTGTAGAATGCTTTTGAACTGTTAATATATAGAGGATAATCAGTAAGCAAAAATGAAAAATGATGGAGAATGAGGAACCTTCGGGGAGTCAGGGGGCACTTAATTCCCTGACCCATTAGTTAAGGACTCCTGTTGTGGTAGTGTTCAGGCAGGGGCCCATCACACTGTGAGGTCGAAAACCTGCGACACAGGGTTCCTTTGAGGGGCCAGGGGATGGGAAGTGGGCCATGGGGGAACCGGTCTAGAATGTTACAGCACCTAGTTAATCGGCAGCCATTCCATCACATTAAATATCCAGCCGTCATGTATTACCTTTCAAGTGAAAATGAATAACTCCCATTAAGAGCAAAATGGGTTTGAAGTCGATTCGAGACAGATTAAAGTACTGTTATGAATGTGTGTGTTGGGAGGAGGAGGGGTCTGTGTATAAAATGCTTGTCCTTGTACTTTTTAAATAATAGATGCCCTACAAACTTATGCAGACCAGGTTACCAAGATACTGGGGTTTAAAGGTCACAAGATATGCATTCTGGGAAGAGCATCAACTTCCTGGAATATTTCCTGCATTTAGCAATTGTTTCTTCAAAATTATTTGTGGCCTTATGATTTTAATGAATAAAATTGATTTTCTAAAATTGTTTATTAAAAAGCACATCTATAATGAGAGCATCTTGGTATCCACATCAGAACAAATTTCAAAGCTGAGCCTAAAGTAGAAACACAAGGTAGGTAACTAGACTGGGTGATACAGGCAGCATTTGCACTTCAGAGTAAAAATTAGGCTTTCTAAACCAAGGACCACAATAGCAAGTCACATTCTTTTTCACTGAGGGGAATGGGTATATATTTCTCCCGACCATTTTCAGGATTTTAAAAATCATTCGTAGCAAAATTCTGAAAAAGGAAGTTCTGTGTTCACAAGTGAGAGAACCAGCCTTAGATACTGACCAGGTTTTGGAATGACCACATCCACTCCTGGTGGGATTTGTGTTTACGCTGGAGAAGCACTGCTGATCCTTGTTAAACCTTTAACCCAGTGGTTTTCTCATCAAATTCTTCCAGATCCTTTTCTGTATTTCAGAGAACTCCTTCCACCCACATTTCTGTACCTACTGTTTGCTTCTTAAGTCTCATGTGACTCTCCTCATTAATTAATGTTTTGGTTGTTTTTTTGGTGAAATGGGGCGTGGTTTGGGCAAGCAGAGAGGAGACTTTCCCTCTTACCACCTACTCAGAATAAACGCTTGTGTCTGGAGCATTGGCTAGATTATATGTTGGATTCGTGCCCTACGTCTTTCACTCTTCAATTACTTTTTCCCCAAAAGCAGGTTGCTAAACTCAAACTTGATTTTTCCCCCCAAGTATTTATATGCGGATATCCATGTGAACCTTTCTCAGGTCACATGTGTCATGTCTCCTGTGATGTGCTGTGCTGTGATTCCAAGAGCTGGGAAAATAAAGTTGAGCTCACATAGTTGAGGACTTCTGTGAAAGCAGTGTGTGTCTGGGTACTCAGGTTGACTAGCCATTTGGTAAGACTCCCTACCCACTCTCAACCCGACTGCCCCCATAGGGCAGCAGATTGTGTCTTGATTGGGGGGAAGTCAGAATACACCGAATTTAGCTTAATCCAACTCAGAGCCTTTTAGTCCATATATTTTTTTTCCTCAGCATTCAGTTGTTAAAGTAGTGACAGAAATTCATGAGGGAAAAAGGAACACTTGCTTCTTTTCCAGTGTGCTTGATAAGTCAGTCCGGATGCTCATCCTACTTGAGTTTTGGTGTTTCAAGAAAATCCTGTGCTATAAATGAATGTTGATTTTCACCCAACACAAACCCTCTGGGAGCTGGCCTGGTCTGGCTGCTGTATCGTATCTTCTGCTTTTCCTTCCAGCATCGTCCAGCCAAGCAGAGAAGGAGCTGACAGATTCTCCCACGACCTCCAAACGCATCTCCTTCACAGGTAGCTCAGAATCTCCTCTTTCTTCAAAGCGACCTAAAACAACAGAGGAGACCAAATCAGAGCAGGTGAGACGGGAAGGGGCTCTGCTGGTTGGGGGAGGGGGAGAGCATTCTAGACACCAGTGGGGAAGACACTTTTGGGTGGGTGGGCTTGGGGCAGACACAGGCACTGGTGGGAACTGAAGATTCAGCCAGAGGGGTGGATGTATCCCCCACAGATGTACCAGTGTCCCTACTGCAAGTACAGCAATGCCGACGTCAACCGCCTCCGGGTGCACGCCATGACGCAGCACTCTGTGCAGCCCATGCTGCGTTGCCCCCTGTGCCAGGACATGCTCAACAACAAGATCCACCTCCAGCTGCACCTCACCCACCTCCACAGCGTGGCACCTGACTGCGTGGAGAAACTCATTATGACGGTAAGGCAGCCGGCAGCAAGACCTGTGGCTTCTCTTTCCTGAGGTCAAAGGTGATGCAGTAACATGGAGGAGATTCTGTTTTGTTGGGTGAGAAAGCCAGTGTAGACTTGGAAATATCAAAAATGGCCCTAGACCTCTGTTTTTCTGTACCTGCCTTCAACTGGGTATGACCATGGTGTGACTGTAGCCCAAAGCATTGAATGTGTATGTGTTTCTCCACCTTCCCTTATTATCCTCCCTCCTGGTCTGATGCAGAGATTAGCTAACCACTTACATAAAGATATTGTTATTTAGACTCTGCAAACCTTCAATAAGTTGGTCATGTTCTGGGTTGCTGTTAGTCTCATTTCATCCTCACAACAGCCTTGTTTAAAAAATAAAGAGTTGGACATGTTCACATTAACAGCTGAGGAAACTGAGGCTCAGATAGTTTAGCTGACTTGATGCCACTTGTAAGTGGTAGGGTTGAAATTTGAACCCACATTTTCCAGCTCTAGGGGTGTGACCCTGTAATGTGGGCACTTCTCAAGCCAATATCTGAATTCTCGGAGCAGGAGAATGGTCAGTGGGATAGCATGTGTTGACTCATGGACAAGGGCTTTGCATTTTCAACACGCTGTTGCTACACCTGCAGGTTTTAAAAGCATGGCTCTAAGTGGCTACTGTAGCTCGGCCCAAAAGGTTAGCATAAAGATTTAATTGTAATGTGAAAACTTTCCAAATTCCACAGGTGATACTAATATCCTGCTTTTCTATCTGTGATGGGGCTGCTGTGCAAGCCCATTCCTGATTACTAGAGGAAAAACTACCAAAGAGAATTATTCTCACCTCTAACTTATTTCAACAGTGGAGTAATAGGTTAATTTGATGGCCTTTTCATGTACAGATTCCCAGGGAGGTAGTCGGTTCAGAATTCCATGTTATAACGTGCAGGTTACAAACATATAACCTCTAGGCATTTCCTATTCCATTTGGTTATGCAAGATGAATGAATAATGTTCTAAGTGATGTTTAGTCGTGGGGAACATATAATTAATGCATCAAGAGAACTTTAGCAGCCAATAGGAAACTTGAAGGTGACCCAGCGTAAGTTTCATCTCAGAGATCTTTCAAGTATAAATTCCCTTTCCGTGGGTGTTTTCAGATAGACTGGTGAACACTGTGTAAAGATTCTCTGTGAGTGGAGACCGTTTTTTTGGATGGGTAGGTTTCTGTGTTACAGGTATTGGCATTCTCACCAGCCTTGGAAATAACAAGGGGATTTTCTCAGGCCTCATCACACTTCCCACTGATGGCCTGGAACCATAAGAGCCTGAAGGAACAGAAAGTGATATGGGAAGCATTTTTAGTACTTAATGGCATCTTTCTTCTCCTCAGGTGATAATTTTTCCTATTTGATATGTCTGGTCTAGAAAATATGAGCCTATAATAATCTGTATGACTGGTTTACATTAAACAGTAGGTTTCCTTTATACATCCCTAGGGACTATAATATAAATTATATTTCAAATATCCATTGTTTGTCATATTTTTATAACAGTGAAAGTGAGGTGCATTTCACATAAGTGAGTCTGGTGGTCATTATGAATCTTCTTCATTTACCAACGGAGTCTTCAAGGACAACATGTAACTACTGTGTTCCTGGGGTACCAATCCCTAAGATATTTCTGGATGTTACTCACTAACTAGCACCTTCTCAGCAGTGATTCTCGACCTTTTTAGAGACTCCAATAAAAGTGATTCTGTAGCCTTACTGGGTTATTCTATGCACAGTAAAGTTGGACAACCACTGTTAAGACCACCATTGAGTATTCTGCATCTACAAAACTGTGTATACTGCCAGGGAGCATAAGAATACCTTAAAATTCATACATGGAACCAGGTTTATAAACCCTGTTCTAGAAGAATCCCTGACAACATAATTATATAGGAGAAGCCTGATCGCTAAAAGGGTTGTACTTGGTACTTTGTACTGAAACCCCTGTGTACCTTATCTTCCCACAGCAGACAATGGAGATTTTTTTCTATAGAAATGTAGACTTTTTTTTAAGTTCTTTTTTTTAATTCCACTATAGTTAACATTGTTATATTAGTTTCAGGTGTACAGTATAGCAATTCAACAGTTCTATACGTTATTCAGTGCTCATCATGATAAATGTATTCTTAATTCCCTTCACCTATTTCTCCCATCCCCCCACCTCCCCTCTGGTAACCATCAGTTTGGTCTCTATAGTTAAGAGTCTTTTTCTTGGATTGCCTCTCTCCCTCCCTCCCTCCCCCCCTCCCCCACACCTTTGTTTATCTGTTGTGTTTCTTAAATTCCACAGATGAGTGAAATCATGTGGTATTTGTCTTTCTCTGACTTACTTCGCTTAGCATTACACTTTCTAGACCCATCCATGTTGGTGCAAATGGCAACATTTCGGTTTTTTGTTTTTTGTTTTTTTTTTATATGGCTGAATACTCCATTGTGTATATATACCACATCTTCTTTATCCATTCATCAATCAGTGGACACTTAGGCTACTTCCATAGTCTGGCTATTGCAAATAATGCTGGAATAAACATAAGGATACTTATATCCTTTCCAATTAGTGTTTTTGTATTCTTTGGGTAAACACCCAGTAGTATGATTACTGGATCATAGGGTAATTCTATTTTTAACTTTTTGAGAAACCTCCATACTGTTTTCCACAGTGACGATACCAGTTTGCATTCCCACCAACAGTGCCTGAGTTTTCCTTTTTCTCCATGTCCTCGCCAACACTTGCTGTTCCTTGTGTTTTTGATTGTAGCCATTCTAGGAGGTGTGAGGTGGTATCTCATTTTAGTTTTAATTTGCATTTCCCTGGCAATGAGTGGTGCTGAACATCTTTTCATGTGTCTGTTAGCCATCTGTATCTCTTTGGGAGAAGTGTTTGTTCATGTCTTTTGCCCATTTTTTAATTGGTTTATTGGGGGGGGGTTAGGTTATATAAGTTTTGTACATATTTTGGATACTAACCCTTCATTGGATATATCATTTGCAAATATCTCCTCCCATTTAGTAGGCTGTCTTTTTAGTTTTGTTCCTTCACTGGAAGGAAGTGAAGCCTTTCATTTCGATGTAGTCCCAAGAGTTTGTCTTTTATTTCCCCTGCCTCGGGAGACATATCTAGAAAAATGCAGCTATAGCCAATGTTAGAGAAATTACTGCCTGTGCTCTCTTAAATAATTTTTATGGTTTCAGTTCTTACATTTAGGTTTTTCATCCATTTTGGATTTAATGTTTGTATGGTGTAAGGAAGCGATCCATTTTCATTCTTTTGCATGTTGCTGCCCAGCTTTCCCATCATCATTTGTTGAAGAGACTGCCTTTTCCCATTATATATTCTTTTCTCCTTTGTCAAAGATTAATTGATCATATGACTGTGGGTTCATTTCTGGGTTTTCTATTCTGTTTCATTGAACTGTGTGTCTTTTTGTGCCAGTACCATACTGCTTTGATTACTACTGCTTTGCCGTATAACTTGAAGTATGGAATTGTGATATCTTCAGTTCTTTTTCAAGAATTGCTTTGGCAATTCAGGGTCTTTTGTGATTCCACAAATTCCACAAATTTTATGATTGTGAAAAATGTTGTTGGTATTTTGATAGGGATTGCATTAAATGTGTAGATTACTTTGAGTAGTATAGACATTTTAACAATATTTGTTCTTCCAATCCATGAGCATGGAATGTCTTTCCATTTCTTGGTGTCGTCTTCAGTTTCTTTCATCAATGTTTTAAGTTTTCAGAGTACAGGACTTTTACCTTCTTGGTTGAGTATATTCCTAGGTACTTCATTATTTTTGGTGCAATTATAAATGGGATTGTTTTTACTAGAAATGTAGACATTTCTGAAAAGTGTGCAAATTGTGGGAAAGGTTCTGATTATAGGAAGTCACTTTGCTAGCAGCAAGAGAAAGTTAGTGGATTCAGAAACAAAGTTGAAAGTTATGAGAAATATAATCATATGAGGGTTTTACTCTTAAAGGTATACGTAAAGATGGTTTAATACCCTCTGTCTGCATTAGAAGATGGAGTTATTGCCTGGCTGTCAGTATTGAATTGGTTTTTCAAGCTCTGAGGATGGTTTGCATTGAGGTGATGAAGTATTTCCACTTTGATCCTTTAGTTCAGCCGGAAAAGATGAGCAATCAGGGTTAGAGGAGAATTGGTGGCTGTAGCTTAGGGGAAATCCATAATCCTGTTTGAGGACTGAAGTTTGCCCTCCTTAATCAAAACAGATACCACTGTGCTTCCTCTGAAAAGTTTGGTGTTAAAATGGAATTTGTAATTGTTTTATAACCAAGTGATTATAATAAGCCTGTGGTGACAATCATGCTCCTGGAGGGCATTTTACTGTAAATTTATTAAAAAATTGGCCATGGGAAGGCATTGGTTGGACTTTCTGACTGTATGTTTGTTTGTTCCTGGTCAACTGGAACAGGAAACTCTGAAAACCGCATGATGAGAAATGTCCCTCAAATCAGAGCTCCAGTTTAAAATTTTTTTTTAATGTTTATTTTTGAGAGAGAGTGAGGGAAAGGCAGAGAGAGAGGGAGACACAGAATCTGAAACGGGCTCCAGGCTCTGAGCTGTCAGCACAGAGCCCAACGTGGGGCTCGAACCCATACAGTGTGAGATCATGACCTGAGCCGAAGTCAGAAGCTTAACCAACTGAGCCACCCAGGTGCCCCAGAGTTCCTGTTTTCAAAAGTGTATCATTAAGGAATGGCCAGTGTATAGTCATTCATCCTCCAAAAGGAGAAAGTTATGTCTGCTTTGTCCCCAAGTGGCCAGGATGAATGGTGGTAAGAGGAGTGACTTTCCTTCCTTGTCAAATGGTTTGACTATTAGCTGCAGTTGGCTGTAGAATAGGAAAAGCTGGCAAAATCTACCACACAGACAATTCTTGATAGACGTTGGGTATGTCCCGGGTATCTAAAGCTATAAATTCGGATAAACATTTTCTGCTG